AATCTGGCTGAATACAGCTATGTAATAAATCAATTTGTTACTGTGACTCATTTCAAAGGTAGAATTACAGCTGACAGACAACAAAGAAGTTAGATTAGGCACAGGGGCGATACACAATAGAGTCCCAAAAGAGTTTTGCTTTTTTATTTTTTTAATAAGTCTGTTAAATCATTCATTGGGCAATAAATGATCCAAGATAGACTTCAAGATAACTATTATAACTTTAACATCAATAATCAGAGTAAATAAAAATTTTTAAAATATGTTCAGTCATTCCATAAACATTACATAATACACAGATGCATATACTATTGTCATAGATGTTTCAAATTCTACCACAAACCAGAGCAGAATTGCTGCCTTTTGGGAAGCAGGAGACAGATGTGATCCGATAATAATGAGAATAAATAAAAAATAACAATTACATTAAGTAACAGAAGAAAAGGGGCATGATGCCATGACAGTCTTTTAAGAAAAACTGCCCACCCTAGGAGAGGACAGCAAGGACAGGCATTTAATACAAGGGGTGAGGCTGTGAGGCTGAAGGGACGGCAAGTGCAAAGGCTACAAGACAGTGCAAGTAACAAAGTCCATGATGCTGAGACCTACAGTCAACTGCAGAGGTGAACAGCAAAGGCAAGGACGCTGCCAGCTGTGACAATGAATGAACTAAAATCTTATGGATTGTACATGACCAATTTTTTAATAAAATCTCATGCTTCTCAGAACAATTTGAACATAAAATCTAGGCCCTATGGAAAAGTATATTCTATAATAGCCTCTTTCTATTCCCAAACAATCAGTGCTGGGCTCATTCTTAGTAATATTTTGGAAGACAGCCAAACTTATTTGATTACAAGCAATTCAAAAAAGCAAAATAATATTAATAACAATTTTTGAATCTGTTTTATATATCCTAAAAAAATAAGCATTAAAAGACCTCTAATTCAAAACCTAGTTAATGCCTCAGGAGCTCCGTTTCTGACATCCTCTAGAGTCCTAAGCACTGAAGAAACAAATACGCACACGGAATCTCTGCATGTGGGTGAGGATAATGTTTCCATCACTAACACTGGGTGTAACTGTAATCATTTATACCAAGAAAGAAAACGAAGGAAAAAAAACAACTCCCACCTGAGAACCTTTTATGTTCAGGTCTACAACGTCCCTCAAGTTCCCCTGTTCAGAGGTGGGAGGCTTTGGAAAGTGACTGGCTCTTGCAGGTACTACACTTATCTGCGAATTAATCCACTGGTGAGCTCAGAGCTAGCAAGTGGGGTCTGGCTGAAGGAGGTAGGTTATTGTGGACATGACCTTGTCCCCTGCACTTTCAGCCCAGGGTCAGTGTGTCCCCATCCCGACTCTCTCCATAATACAGCAGGACTCTCCTTCTAACTCTCCAGTTTAAACACCCCACACTTAGAAAGAAGTTACTTGGAGAAGGCAACCAAGTTACTTATCTTTAAACATACTGAATATGTATGTTCATAGCCAAAAGAAAGCACCAAATAAGCCGAAAATAACCTCTTTACCAAAGAGTCAAGCATCCACAAGAATGGGCATGGTACAGACCACAGGCTATAGCACTGTCTCTAGCACAAGGGACACTTCACATGAAGTGGTTACACTCTGGGTGCCACGGTGACGTATAAACCATTCTGAGCCCTCCTAATATACTGAACTTCCAGACAGAGCCCATCTTTTTCACATCTCAAAAGTCTTCAGATTTAGTAAAACAACACATCTCCACAAATACGTATCAACTGATTCCACATCCATGGACTCAACCAACCACAGACTGGCACTATTTGAAGGCAAAAACCCACATCCATACTGAACATGTACTACCTTTTTTCTTGCCATTACTCCCTAAACAATACAGTATAGCAACTATTTATACAGCATTTACATTGTATTAGGTATTTTAAGTCATCTACAGATTACTGAAAGTACTGTGTATGGGAGTATGTACACTGGTTATGTGCAAATACTAACCCATTTTATACAGGGAGAACATCTGCAGATTTTGCTAACTGAGGAGGGTCCTGGAACTGATCCCTATGGATACCAAGGGAACACTGTACACAGTACTCCCCAAAGCACTGTAGCAACAACCACTGTATAAATGAGCCCTTAGCAATCTTCCTCCACATATTCTTTGGAAGATCAAGAAAAGATGACTTGAAGAAGGAAGGAGGACCTGACTTCCTGTCATTGCGTAAAGATGCAGGATGAAAGTGTAACATTTCCCGAATAGATTCTCATTCTTTCTCATTTTCATTCTCTCTCTCTTCCCTCCCTCCCTCCCTCTCTCGGCCCTCTCTAACTTTCCCTCGAACTCAGGACCTTGTGCTTGCCAGGCAGGCACTGTGCTGTGTGCTATATCCCTGGCACCCAACAAGATTTTCTCAATTTGGATTTGGACTTTTTTTTTTTTTTTTTTTGGTTCTTCTCCGGTACCAGGGACCGAACTCACGACCTTGCGCATGCCAGGCAGGCGCTTTTGCCGCTGAGCTAAATCCCCAGCCCCGGATTTGGACTTTTTTGAGACAGGGTCTCACTATGCAGTTCAGGCTGTCCTTGAGCTCACTCTGTAGCCCAGGTTGGCCTCAAACTCGCAAAAATCCTCCTGCCTCAGCCTCCCAAGTGCTGGGATTACAGGTGTGTGCCACCATGCCCAGCTTACAAAACTAGTTTTTCTAAAGAAGACATTCAGCAGAAAGAGGAGGCCACAGTCCCACAGACAGGGTAAAACACAGATGTTTCAATGTTAAAGAGGTTCCTTAACTGCAGAGCTTCTCACTATCACTATCTATCATCTCTCCAGGGAGCAGTTCAGGCAGTATTTCCCACAAGCATACTAATTTGCTGGTGTGTGTCCCACCACCACAACCACATCCTATGTTATGGAAGCTGACAGAGGCTGGCACTAGGTACTGCACATGGAAGTTAGCCTTCAGACAATGATCCCAATGATCACATTACCATATTAAATAGTTAAGAATCAAGAGAAAAGGATAACAAATAGATCTTTTCTTATTTTTAAGGTACATAATCAAAAGCTAAATGAGTCGAAATACATTCTGCTCCTTTCTTATGATTTAGAAGCCAATAGTCCAGGAATAAGCAAAGTGTGGTAACTATATGAAAGTCTTCAGTGTCTGAGACTTTCTTGCTGCCCAGGATCTGAACCAAAGACAAACACTGAAAGGGCAGCAACTGACGTAAGAATGACATGAGACTAAATGTCTACAGTATGTAAAAGCCCCATCACCGACATCAAAGGTTCTAGTTTAATTCCCAGTTCCCACCCCTGCCGTGGGATTAGATCTTCATGTTTACCATTTCTGGAATGTATGGTTGTAAACGCCCTGCCCTTCCTGGACTCCCAAAATGTATTGTGAATGCTCTACCCCTCCCGGATTCTCGGAATGTACTGTTCCTGCCATTAAAAAAAAAAGAAAGAATCCCCTCATTGTTACAGATGTGATGTGTTTGCCAAACAGGATGCGGTTTTAGGGAATAAAAACTGCTCTCGTCCTTGAATCAGGACTGGTCTGATCCTTCCCTGCGTGGAGGCTCTCAGTCAGTCTCTGGCCAGGAATAAAGGCTCGTCCTAAATTCCAATTGGTGGTCCGTGCGTCTTGGCGTTTGTCGGTCGGTACCATTTGGTTCGTTTCTGGTGGTGAGTCCAGAACACAATAGAGTTCAAAATTCTTTAAACCTCCAACTTGGACAATTTTACATCATATATGTATCTTCAACAAAGAAATTATAGTTGGGAATACAGGTTGGTTTGTTAAGTTCTAACACTTATCACCTTTGGGAGATCAAAACACACACACACACACACACCCTACAACTTTGGGAGATCAAAACACACACACATACACACACACACACACACACACACACACACACCCTACAACTTTATGTGAAGTTCAGAACAGTTAAGAGTACTCTTCAAAGTAAAATATCTGTACCTGATTAGTGACATAACACAGTGAAGTCCTTTAATCCATTTCTTGGAAAAACATCAAAAGTAGTGTCTTTAATCTGTTAATTATATCTCCTATGAAATTACTGTCAGTCCTCTGCAGAGTAAGTCATTCAAACAAAAAAACCTTCACTAGTTTTCCTGGCTCTGTAAGAAAAGCATCTTAAAACACAAAATATTTCCAATGAGAAAAGACTAAGCTGGGGTTGGACAGGGTCTAAATCAACTGTGTCCAACTATTTCATCAAAAAGCTGAGTTCATCTCCCTAAAGCCGAAAGTTTGAATACAAAAAAAGGTCAAAGTACATTTTCAGGAGAACCTCATAGGTTAGTTGCCTTCATCTATTATCACTGATTAGCAGAGATAAAGTTCAATACTTTGGAAAAGGAGACTGATGTAAGAGATAAACCTTGACCTGAAGGCCATTAAAAGTATCTAACTAGCGGGCTGGGGATTTAGCTCAGTGGCAAAAGCGCCTGCCTGGCATGCGCAAGGTCGTGAGTTCGGTTCCCGGTACCAGAGAAAAACCAAAAAAAAAAAAGTATCTAACTAGCTTCTGGCCAGTACTATTCCAACATAAAGTTTCCTATTTCCAAGAATCTTGAGGTTTACTTCTCTCCACCATGTACATATTCTATTCTATCAAATCATCACAGCCATTATCAGGGTAGTAAAGGTGAAAAGCAAGGATGAATCCAAAAGATGACAAATACCAAGCAGGTGACTAAGAGAAAAAACAAGTGGCATGAGAAAACAAGGAAAGAAGTTTTCAACCCTCAAACCAAGGAAAGGACCAAATCAAGAAAGACACAAGCAAGAAGTGGTTAAACTTAACAGGCCCAAGGTATAGTACATGCTTACTAAGTTTTCCTATCCAAAGACACTGTCTTTTCTGGGCCCCAAGCCTGCCTTAACATGTAAAAAAGACATTTCTTTCAGCAAAATGCTAAGATCATTCTTCTCCCACAAGCTCTGTGAAGACACAGGTGTGCCTCTCCTTACCTCCTGGCCTGTAGACAACATCATCCTCAGTGATATAGGATGTTATCTCACCAGTATCTGTCCGTTCATAACGAGACTTTTTTTTTGGTGGTTTCTTCTTGTTCTTCTTGGTGGACTCCTCTGTGGTGGCACTATTGTTGTCATTGTCCTCATCTTCACTGTGATCACTCTCAGCATAATTTTTGGCCCCTCCTTCCAAGGTGCAGCTCCTGCGTGGTCTTGAATTCTCACTCTCTCTTGCTTTGTCTCTTTTATCTCTTTCTCGGTCCCGATCTCGGTCCCGGTCCTTCTCTTTGTCTTTGTCTTTGTCTTTGTCAGCTGTCATGATTCGCCACGTGCCTTCTTCTGTCCTCTCACGGCTAGGCCTCCGTGAAAGGTAGACTGTAAGCCTGGGCTTCAGTCTTCTGAATTTCTCACTCAATTCCAGGGAAAATCCAACCACTCCAATAACCCCAACGTTTCAAAAATGCTAGAAGAGAAACAAGAGAGCAAGAAATTGTTTTACTTTAACATTTCCTCTTTTTTCTTCATAAAATGATGTTTTGTTAGATCTCTTACTCATGCTTTAGATTTATCTAAAAATGTCTCAGACCATAGATAAAAAGTTAGAACAAATGATATACTATTTCAATGTACAGTTTTTGGCCTCAGCTAATAAATGGTTGGAGTCTTTTTTTAATGTCAATATTAAAAACTATCTGGCCAGGTATGTTGGCAGACACCTATAATCCCAGTACTTGGGAGGCTGAGGCAGAAGGATCACTCCAAGTTCAAGCCCAGGCTGTGCTACATAGTGAGTTCAATGCCAGCCTGAAATACAAACAAAGATCCTGTCTCCCCAAAAAAAAGTCTGTAGGCATAAGAGTAAACTGCAGTCCTGTATACCAATTGTTGTTGTTTTTTTTTCTTTTTTACAGAAAAAATTAAGTGTACTCTAGTGGGCAACATGTAATGGGAATAATTATAAGAAGGAACTTCATAACCCAAAATATAAATTTAAAGGAGGTACAAACTTATACTAAAACTTATTTCCACCTGAAAAAACACTAAAGTGGAGAACTCTGGCAAACACCTGAGGATGTCACACAGTGGACTAACTTTTGAAGACTTTACCTACTTCTCCAAATTTAAAGAGCTCCTTTCAAAAATAAATATGCTTGACACCAATGAAAGTGACAGCTTCAAAGCAAGAATCTTTCAGTTACCCTTAATTACATCCTACACATCTTCTGCATCTCCCATTCTAGTTCAATTCTAGGAGAAATGGTTTCTCTACAAACATTTATTATTTCTGCCTTAACAAAACTAACGGCTTCCAAAAACAACCTCTGGGCCTTAGGGAATATGAGGTGGTTTTTATATTCTTACAAATTTCCACCATTAACAATTGCCCTAATAAACTCCTCAAGAACTAAATCCAACAAGAGAAATCTAGTTAAGAGTATACAATGCAGCCGGGCGTGGTGGCAATCCCAGCAATCCAGAGGCTGAGAAAGGAGGATCACTGTGAATTTGAGACCAGCCTGGGCTACAAAGTGACCTGAAGGCCAGTCTGAACTGCATAGCAAGACCCTGTCTCCAAAAAAAAAAAAAAATTAAAGTATACAATGTGAAGATTGAGTCCTGAACTCCCAACCCAACACAATTCCTCATAAAAAGTTTACAGCTGGGATAATGCACTTATTTACAAATCATTTTGGAATTCCTAATAGCAAAAATATCTTGTCTGATCTTTTATCATCTTCCCCAATACCTCATTTGCTCAAAAATCTTTACTAAATACTGTCTGGGTACCAGGTGTTCAGAACTAAAAATACAATGAAAGAAGAACTCATAATCCCTGCCCTGGATGATCAAATGCAACAAAAGGACGCCAGTGATCAATGTGAGAACCATCTGTTTCTCATGCTACAAGGGCCAGATAGGAAACAACATATGCAAACAAACAAAAGATTGTTCCTGTTTACTTACACAACAGATAAATCAGATGCAATTATATTCCTCAGATGCAAAGAAAATTCTCTTTGGTCATGCCCAAGCCAGAAACTTATCAGACTCTCTCTGAAGCTCAGAGATCAAGTGGGGGCACGGGGGGCGGGGAGGGGGGGGAGGCACCTACCATAAGCATGTCAATTATCCTTGGGATTTCAGAAAAATGTCAGCAACAGCCTTTGGGAGATACCAAGGAAAGAGCAGTAATAGTCATCATCTATAAGCAAGGTCAGAAGGCTGAAAGCGTATTGCACAAACCTAGCACTTCTTTCCACACAGGAAAAATATTTCGAGTGTGGATTTAAATTTTCTAAGCATATTTCAAGAAAAGGAAAAATTATTCTAGTCCTTACAAAACTTTTGCATACATGAATCATCTGCTAAACACAGTAATAAATTCCCAAATACCTGTAGGCCACTGGAATTAGCAAGTAAAAATATAGACATATTACTTTTTCTAGCCAGCTTAAATTTACAACACACACAAGCCAATCATATATCCACTAACACAGCTGCTAACGCATTCCTCTTGGACACTGAAACTATCAGGCCAAAAAAGCAGGACCTCCAGCCAAAAACCTCCTATCAACCACAATCTGGGACAGAAAAAGTTCTTGTGAGTTTAAGCTGTTCATTCCCTAGAGTTAGGTAGATAACTGCTTCATAAAACTATGGTTTAAAAAAAAAAAAAAAAAAAAAAAAAAAGGTTATTTCAACACTCAAAGAGAGGAAAAAAGAAATTGTACATTTAACTCTACTCACACTAAAATTACACGCTGCTTCTACTGACAAAGAGAACAGTTACTTTGCCAAAGTGAGGAATAAAAAAAAATTCAATAGAAAAAACATCCACAAAATGAAAGTCAGTGTAATGTGTGTGCATGTGCATGGGGACATAAATATAAAATCAATGTCTTCAGTAATCTCAAAATTGGCTCCATTTATATATATTTACTAATGCATAAGTATACAATATATAATTCTATAAATATATAATATATTGTACACAACATACGATATATATATATAGCCAACTTTCAGTTAACAACATCAGTATTACAAAGCTAAAGTGAATCCAGTTACCAATTACATTTGGTTCTAAATTGTAGCTCAGTGGGAAAATATTTTTGCTCTCATCTAACACATTAATCATAATTTTTCTGAGCTATAGTAACCAGCATATAGCAACCAGCATATAGCAACAAGGTGACAATGAAAATAAGAACTCAAGAGAATAACCACAGGATACTGTACTGAGAAACACAGCTGTTTATTCAACTTGCTAGAAATGATCTACAGATAAGACAATACAACAACTGCTAAAGCAACCTGAGGTTTCTGATAGTGACCTGCAAGGAGGCTGTCACCCTTACTTCATAGATTACAAAACTGAAAAAAGATCCTATGCACATGACCACACAAGCAATGAGCAAGAAGGCAGCTCTTACAAAGCTCAATCCTTTGTGACCTTATTAGGATCTGCTGCTTCCTGTGGGCTGGGTCTCCAACTCCTCAAAGGGTCCACATTTCCTACATTTACCCATGCTGGTAATTCACACATCAGGTTAAGAAATACTCACTATGCCCTCCCACCCACTCCCCGCCAAATTTTTTTTCTTCAAGAAAGCCAAAATATTAAAAGTGTATGTCAAAGGCTATTGAACTCAATGAAGCAGAGTTAACATATTTTAATAACTAACACAAGAAAATCTAACCTAATCTAAAACACATCTTGGGGCTGGGGATTTAGCTCAGCGGCAAAAGCGCCTGCCTGGCAAGCGCAAGGTCGTGGGTTCGGTTCCCGGTACCGGAGAAAAACCAAAATAAAAAAATAAAAAATAAAAAAATAAAACACATCTTAGATGCAGAAGTGTCATTCATTCAAGGAACAACTGTCCACTGAATGCCTACTATAGCTCTAGGTGCTGGGAACAGAGAAAGACAAAAATACCTGCCTTCATGGGGCTCAGGTTCTAGAAAGTGTGGAGGCATCATACACAAGAGGGCGGTGTGCACAGAAGTATGCACACATACCTCTGAGAGGGTCTTAAGTGGGGAATTGAATGGAGACAAGGAGTGTGGGAGGACTGCAATTAAGCCAGTGCACACAGACATGCAGGTGATCCACAAAATGTACCTGTCTACCAGATTTCTCCTCCTGCTCCAGATGCACACAACCACATACCCGGGGTCTCCTCTTAATGTCTCAAAGGTACTACCAAACCAAAGGCATGCTTGGGTGCCAGATCAGCACCTCTAGACAGTCTCTCATCTATTTCTGAACTTCTCCAACACCAAACTCTTTGGTTAAAGCTACTAATGTGGCTTTCCTGGGCCACTTCAATCGACTTCCTGATAGGTCTATTCAAATCTAGTCCCTCAGACCCCCATCTTTTAGTGTAACCAAGCTGTTTTCAAAAGGCTAATGACATTATATCGACCCCCACCTTCAACAGTCCTGTGACATCCCACTAGATAAAACACAAATTTCTACCATGCATCGAAGGTCTTTATCTTTTCCCTGGCCTCATTTCACACCACTATCCTGTAATGCTCTGCCTCAAGACACCGAGCTCCCTATGGGCTCTGAGCAGCCTTCTCTTTGTATGCTCCCTTCTGCCAGTCAGGCACTTTTCTCCCAGCCTAGGGGTCTTCTGCTCTTCTTTCATTCACATCTCAACAGCAACTTAATCAAGTAGCCTTTCTTGCCCAAAATCTAGGTTAGGCTCCCATTACAGCCCTTTCCCCATCTATAATGTTACATTCATTTGTGACTTAATTTTATCTCCACCTCCAAGCTAAAATCCCATGAGGAACGTTGACTGTTCTTGCTCTCTCTTCTATTCCAGTTCATAATTCACTATCTGGCACATACAGATGAAAGATAAATTACTACTTCTTTCTGTTCCTCTCACACATAAGCTAGATCCATAAAGACAGCATGAAGAGGAAGCTTATTAGGGAAAAATATTTCATGAGTAACTGAAATGGTAATTGAGCTGGCTCACACACCATGAATAGGATAAAGAGAAGCAAAGAGGAGAAAGACGTGTCAAGTGGGAGGAACCTGACTTAAAAGTATTCCGTTAAATAGCTGCCCATGACGACAGCCAGGGGGAAAAAAAACAGTAGAAAAAAAGTTGAATTCGAAGCAACAGAACAGATAATGGACATTCCTAAAATAATAAAGCAGCTAACATTCAGTGGGCACTTAATATGCATTAAGCATTTTACATATTAACTTGCTTAATCTTCACTATAACAAGAGTGACAGCATAATTTATCATTCAAACTGGAACACATGTGAGAGTGAATAGACACAATAATTATGCAGGAAAAACATATGCAAACCAAACCAGAAAATAAGATCACCCTAACTCTAACCCTATTTAGTGGGTACTATGAGAGAGAGAGAGAGAGAGAGAGAGAGAGAAAGTGTGTGTGTGAGATCAATGCCAAAGTAAACACAGAGAAGCT